TGCTGTGAATATTCCATGTGCTGCCTTGCAAGCTGTTTTGCCTCCTGAATATCCAACTACTTTGTCATGGTGCACAGGAAATGGCATTGGAGACTCTCCAGGTTAGTGTTTGTTTGGAAGATTTCTGATGCAATTTATTCAATCAAACCCTTCTGTCAGCCTTTTTTTACCCCTTGGACCTTCCACATTCTTAGTACAATGAGTTTTGCAGTTTTGCACAGTTGGAAAACAAAAAGTCATGAACTGTTAGGGAGTTTTACTTGAATCCTCAGTACCTACAATGCTAGAGAGGAAACCAGTGTTGAAGTCAACTCTCAGCACTGCAAATGGAGATGAAAAAGCAAAGCTTGGCCCAAATCTCCTGTTTGATATCAAGAACACACCCAACAAATTGGTTTTCTGGCAGTGTTGTGTCAGTTGTTGATCAGGATAGACCCAGGAGTGAGGCTTGAGATGCACTTTTGGTGCATAAAGTTCCTGCCCAGACTGCAGGTAACTTCACAGTGCAACTCCTGTTGCATCCAGATGTGAAGTAGCTGCCCCCAAACTGAGGCTTTTTTTAGGCTGGAATCCACCCACACATCCCTTAATTAACTTCCTGGTGCTGCCATTGAAGTTCCTGAGCTGTGTTCTCACCTAGAACTGGGCATGGGATCTGGGAGGGCCCTGGACAACAGCATTAATGGTTGGATTGAAAGGAGACAAGGTAGAACTTCCAGGAATTCCTGTTGGGAAATGAAGGTATAAAGGGCTTTTTTTTTCCTCTTGTCTGGTATCTGTTGGTCAATTTTGCTCAGCAATTCATGAGTCTAACTCCTAACCAAGCTGGGAAATCTTTCCTTAGAGGTTTAATTAGCCTTTAATAGCTTAATGGATCAAGACTGCTGGTTCCAGTGCTCATATTCCCACTGTTACTGAGGAGCAGGAGGTGGTTCCCTTGGGCCTTGACGTGTAACTTTTCCCCTTTCAATCATGTCTCACCTCCTTTGGGTTTTTAACAGTTACAAGGTTGTGTTGGCTCAATAAACAAACCTGTTGATGCTTTAAAAGGCTTTGGATATTGCCACTGCTGTGTGGAGAGAGGAAGGACTGGATCCATGTGGCTCCAGGAGGGCTGGGGAATCACCACACCATGGGCTTTTGCACTGTTCTTTTGTCCTTTGGAATGTGAAGGTTGGAATGAGGGTTTGGATTTCTTGTTTTGTTTGTTGTTTTGAATGTTTCAATGTCTTTGAGAAGCCTTGCTTAACATTTTTATGGTGTAGTCATTGGAAATGGAAAAAAATGGCATTATAT